GAGGCTTTTATAGGTAAATGGTGACAACTACAGACCATACCCATAAGTGAAATAAATCAGACCTGCATGTGCAAGCACCACATTGTTTCACTAGTGTAAAACCTAGAAGAGTTAATTTAAACTAGGAGGTGTGATAGACATTGTGAAATGAGAGGAAAACACTCAAGGGTAAAGGGCAATTGGGATGTGGGAAAAGAGAAGGGAAAGAAGGAGAAATTTTGTATGTATGTATATACAGGACAGTTAACATAGTTGTTCTACTGTCTTCTATTTCTTTGCTGAAAGAAACAGTTAATGATTCCTTGATTGATCAATATTTCATGTCTCTGTTTTCCTAAAAAACCACTTTGAAGACATCAATATGTAATAGAACAAGCATTGTTAATTTCCTACCACTTTGTTTGTAACTCTGTATTGTTTGTATTGTTCTTTTGCTATTTTGTAAATGGTTGTCTGTTTGTTAATGTTTTCCTCCTTTTATTTTTGAAATAAAAAAATTAAAAAAAAAACAGATTGGCTCACCACAATTTCATTAACACGACAAAAGCAGATGGTGAGTGCATGTTCTCTTATTCTTATTTAATCAGTAGTCCTATTAGTGGCAGAAGCTATTGAAAGGAAGGTTTTAGGGGCTGGGGATTTAGCTCAGCGGCACAGCCCCTGCCTCGCAAGTGCAAGGTCGTGAGTTCGATTCCCAGTACCGGAAAAAAAAAAGATAGGAAGCTTTTAGTTACTTTCTCTTTTCTATTTTCCAGTCAGTCATGCATCCTCCACTCCCACTTGAAGAAAGGAGTGTATCTGAGCCCTTGAGGCCACCCTTTTTCTTCCCTTTTTCATTCCTTCCTTCCTTATCTTCCTTCCTTCCTTCCTTTTTTCCTTCCTTCCTTCCTTCCTTCCTTCCTTCCTCCCTCCCTCCCTTCCTCCCTTCCTTTTTTCCTTCCTTCCTTACCTTCCTTCCTTCCTTCCTTCCTTCCTTCCTTCCTTCCTTCCTTCTCTCTTTCTGATTTTTTGAGACAGGGTCTAGCTATGTAGTTTAGACTGGCTTTGAACTCACTATGCAGCTCAGGCCTTAAATTTGTGGCAACCCCCTTGCCTCAGCCTTCCAAGTGCTAGGATTATAGGTATATGCCACCATGACTGGAAGAGATCACACTTTAAAAGTCAAGCATTTAAAATATGTTCTACCTGATATGTAACTAAAAATATACAAGGTGAAAACTTGAAAATTTCAACCCTAAACCCTTTTCAACTTTGCTCTTCCATTAGTTATTTTTTGTCATTTATCTATTTCCTTTTCCATTTATGGATGCCATCTTGGATTACCATGTAAACTATAGTTTAGATTCTTTGAATGTATGTATGAATGACAATGAATCATAAGGTCCTTTGCTGGGCATGGTGGCACATGCCTGTAATCCCAGCACTCAGGAAGCTGAGGCAGGAGGGTCACTGAGAGTTTGAGGCCAGCCTGGGCTACAAAGTGAGTTCAAGACCAGTATGAACTGCGTAATGAGACCCTATCACAAAAGAGACAGAAAAAAATAAAAGGTCCTATCGTTTTGTAGAAAATTCTGACTTCTGTTTCAAGAAAATCTCATGATAAAAGGTCACATTGATTTATTAAGTCCAGTCTTATCTAACTCAAGGCTTAGGTGGTAACCATTTGGACAAACATAATTATTTCTCAGAAGTGTACAACAAATCAGTACCTCATCTCAATAATTGTCAGTTTTGGAACTACATTCAACTAAAAAGCAATCCTAATTTAGACCTTGAGCTAGTAATTTTCCTACGTCCAATCCAGAAAAAAAGAAGTTTGCTCTTTCACAGAGGCTTGATCTTTTCCTTCACTTTTCCTCCTATTCCACCCTCTGAGTGATTGCAAAATGGAAAAGATCAAAGCCCTGTCAAGCATGTAATTAGAGAGAATTTCTTATTTTCTATTATTTTTTCCTCCAATTTTGTCACTTAATTCCAATTTTTATTTTACTATTCAGAAAACTTCAGCAAGTTTGGTAAATTTCTCAGCTATTTTCATCCATTAATATTTTACCTCAACAAGCCCTTGAGTATATTTTGATGGTAGAAGAGATATTGAGTAGAAATTCAACTACACAATGTTATTTAGGAACCAAGCCATGACCCAAATCAGAAACAGGCCCCAAAGGAAAGTTTTAAATATTCTCTGAAAGGCATGAACTTTTTCTTGTCTCTGGTGCTAGCTAAGAATGTTATGTCCAATAGATGCTCAAATACACTTGTAGAATGGATGAATAAATAAATCAACAGTGACCTCCCTCCTATAGTATAATTTCTGCACCAATTAGTAAGTAGCTATCATTCTGTCAAGATCTTTTTTTCTTTTCTGTCCAGGATTTAACACAATAGCTTGACATTATAGATGCTTCTATTTGGAGTAAAGAACACCACTCCATTTGTTGCTGTTTTCATTTGTGCTCCAAGTGACATTAAGTGCTGTTTGGAACAGATTTATTTCATTTAACATTTAGCATCATCTTAGCAATACTTATATAAATGAAAAAACAAAAACTTCTCCCTTATTCCCACTGCACTAAGCACACCAATGAGGTGATCAATTTATTTCAACACTCTTTTCAGTGTCTTACATATCACAGCTGCTTGATACATATTTTTCAACTAAAACAGGGAGAATAGTTTTTTATGAAATGAGTTCTTGTAATTCTTCCATAAGTTACTGAGATAGAGTGCATTTTGAATTGGGCCTTTAAATTTATTCATTCTCCTTAGCACTTAAGAATAGAACTCTATTTGGACTTAATACATTTTTACTGTCATAGATGTGAAAGTATTTTTTTTATTGTTTAAATGTCTTCCTAACTCTCAGCCAATTAGTAAGCAAATACCTTATAAAAACAGTTGTTTCATTTTGATATCTTCTTGAGCCTTTTAAATTTAATAAAAGAAAAATGTTTAATTAATGAACTAAAGGACAAACTCCAAGCCTTTTTATCAGCCTTCTGGCTTTGAATAATGCCAATGAGAAAGTAGGGGGTCCTGGAACTGTGACAAATGTCTCCATTATACATTGAATGAACTTTGCTTATGTCTGTTTTTTTTTTTTAATCTCTAAGGCAAATCAATGAGTCTTTTGAACCAGACCTAGTTAATGAATTCTTTGAGGATAGAACTTTCTCTCAGTTTTCAATAGCATGATCGCCATTTCTATTTAGTTACTTCTCAAGTATGGCCTTTCTTCTTTTAGATCTGCAGGAGAAACCTACACTAGATTTTATTTTCTGTGAGTAACAAGAGCTTTTAATACCACAGCAGAACTTCTACTTTGCACTATCCTGTGACTAATACTCAGCTGAGCAGATCTTCATGGGGATTTGCACAGATCTACTCTTCATGACTGGAATGCCATTTCTGAAAGATATCTGGAGGTTGAAGCTCTCTAAAGAAATATTATTTATGAATATCACTTAAGAATGTCAGATGAGAGTGTTTTTCCCTGAGAATCTAGTATTGAATGTGGGATAAAGGGTCTTTATGGATTGATATAAAGCATATATACTTTTATTTTTTTTTTTGGTTTTGGTTTTTCTCTGGTACCGGGAGCCGAACTCACGACCTTGCGCTTGCCAGGCAGGCGCTTTTGCCGCTGAGCTAAATCCCCAGCCCCAGCATATATACTTTTAAATGCTAGTCTATAAATGAGAATCTGGTTTTTAAAATACTTTTTTCATAATAGACAGGGTGGGTATGGTTTCCTAACTGATATATTTCCTGTAATCAGTCTTTAGGCCCAGCAGGGGCAACAGAAGTCTGTGGAAGCTGGGAAGTCAAAGAATTTGGTAGGGGAAGGGTGGGAACAGTGTACTTTACTATCTACCACAGCACCATCCTATACAAGGAATTCAACTGTTATTCGTTGTCTCTGGCCTTATTTTTTCATGGCCTAGAATACTGAGAATTGCTTCATATCATGGAGAGTAATTTTTAAAGGAAGGAAAGTAATGGGGACCACTTTGGTTTCCTTGATCCCCAAATTTCTATTGCTACACATCTATTATTCTTTGGAAAGATACATGGCCATGGATGATTGCCTCTTAAGTACAAATTTTCATATAATAGTGAATGCTAAGGGCTGGTAGAAGAAGGGTCAGGAAGCTATAAAGATTAGAGAAAAGAGGCATGTTCTATTTCTTGAATCTAGTGTAGAAGGAAGAGGAAAAAGGAAGAGTATATTTAAGCTTTAAGGGTCATCAGCCCATCAGCTTTTTGATGAATGACTTTTAATGACAAACTATTTCCTCTTTAAAAATGCTGAAAAGCAAGTCCACTACATCCATCAAGTTTACAGTGATATTAACCCTTCAGTTTCTGAGGAACGTATTATAAGATGGCATGCCATTTTAGGAGTTCCAAACATGCAAGGAAATGTTCAGGCTACAAGGATGCAACATATAACTTCAATAACAATATAAATAAGGAGTAAGGTACCTGATGAAGATGTTTCAAAGTCTTCACCTGTTTGCGAGTTTAGATTTGGGAGCTTCTCCCTAGGACACAGAGATGCATGTAATTGTTAGTGAATAAGCTGACATTAAAATTTAGAATCACTGAAAGTATATATTCATAAACATGTTCATAAAATATGGCCTTTTCATATTGGAAAGTAGGAGAGTAATTGAAAATTTTGATATTAACGTTATTTTTTTACTTTTTAAATTTTTGTTTACTAGTATAGTACATGTGTTTACATTCCTTGTGGGAGTATATTAACATTATAATAGGATATATTTTGATTAAAAGAGGTGGGGAAAGATGTGAAATTTAAAATTTTTACTGTAAAGATAAAGAAAACATATGAGTGAGGGAAAAGATCAAGAAATTAGGGGGCTGGGGATTTAACACAGCTGCAAAAGCACCTTCCTGGCAAGCGCAAGGTCGTGAGTTCGGTTCCCGGTACCGGAGAAAAACCAAAAAAAAAAAAAAAAAAAAAAAAAGAAATTGGGGGTTCTGTTAGATAATCTTTCACTAGGTTTATATTTTTTTACAATCTGAAAACAATCATTAAATTTTCTAAAACAAAGTGAACTTTGTGTGAAATTGGAACATTTAGCCTGACAGAAAGTGAGTTATTTTCTCATGATGTTGGTAAGTAAAAATATATTTTGCAAAGAAGATTTTAGAATACACTCATTTGCAATCCATGGAGAAACACATTTTTAAACCTATGTTCCTAGGATACTTTCAAATTATATATTTATTTTTTAAAGGTTTAGGCTGATGACAGTGAATTCAAATATAACAATTTCCACAATTTCCTACCAAAGAACTATGGGATGAAATATCACCAAATGAACAGTATCTAAGTAGATACATTTAACTGTAACATATAAGAAGTTGTTATTTATTACTGCAGTTAGAGGTGTTATAGAGAGTCATCCTTAAAGATGAATACCAGGCTTGAAAACGAAGGGTGTCCTAGTTACTTTTCTCATTGCTGAGACAAAGTAGCCAGGTTTATTTAGCTCACAGTTTGTGGAGATTTCAATCCGTAGACAGCTGGCTCTAAGGCAAGGTGGAATGGCACAGAGACTTCACACAGCATAAACAGTATATTGCCGGGGCAGGCAGAAGGCAGCAAAGCAGAAAAGCAGCAGCAAGCAGCAGCAGCAACAGAAGCATCAGCAAGCAGCAAGGCCAAAGCCCCTCCTGTTTATCCCTTCCATGCTACCAATCTTTTAGATGGCGTCACCTACATTCAGGATGGGTCTTCACATTATCTATACCCAGAAGTATGTGTGTTAACCAATCAATAGACTAATTTAGTAACCAAATACCCTTAATCTCATGATCACACAATTTATTAACAGCATCACACAATCCCAGCATCACACACCCTAGAAGCACCTACCTCTGAAAAACCCCACCCATGAGCACATTAGACTTGGAGGAATATCTAGACACAAGTCATAACATTCTACCTCTTGCTCCCAAACATCTCATGCACATCTCTTTATGCAAATTGCAGTTAGTTCATATCCAAGAGTTGCCAAAGACCTAACAGTTTCAGCATTGCTGAAAAGTCCAAGTTCAAAGTCTCCTCTGAGATTTAAGGCAAACTCTTAGCTGCAAGCTCTGTACAAATGAAAAGAAAGTTAAAGACTTCCAACATACAATGGCACAAGATAAACATTCTCATTCCAAATAGAGGAATAGAAATGAATGGGACCTAAGCAAGTTTAAAATCCAGCAGGGAAAGCATTTTCACATAGTTCTATGTCTAGCATCTGAGGCAGTCTATGGCATGATGTGAACTCCAAAGGGCTTGAGTGGCTATGCTCCTATGGAACTGCAGGCAGCTGCAACTCCCATGGCATATCTCTTGGGCTGGCTTTTCTCACTCCTTGCAGCTTTCCTTAGATGATCCACGTTCTTGGCTTCTCCAACCATCAGGGTCTCCACTGCACCCTTGGATTCACACTCACAGCTTCACAAACTGCCTTCTCAGGGGCACACTCAGGGACCTCTCCAGCCTTCTTCTGAAATCTGGGTAGAAACCTTCCTGACCCCACAACTGTTGCATTCTGCATGCACCTAAAACCAGCACCACATCTATGATTCCAAGATCAGTTGCCAACTGGAGCAGTAGCTTCCTTCTCTCTTGGCTAGAGGAGTCAAGTGCCTGGATTGCTGAGCACTAGGAATCAAATCCTGAGGAAAAACTTCTCTAGGCCACTGTCATTCAGCAACATGGTGCTCTGGGGCTTTCTCAAAGAAAACTCTTTGTAATTTTGAGGGTTCAAATGCTGGACTCCTGCTGGTTCTTGTGATGTCCTCAGACCTGTCTTTTCTATTGTCTTGTTCCTTCTCAGTAACCAAGTTCTCCCCTTGTCCATCTTTGCAGTTTGCAACTTTACTAGAGTTTCCTTTCTGGACAAACTCACAACATCTTAAATCATTCTACTGGACTATTTGCTCTTTATTCTCAACATAAATTTAGTTAACAGCCCCCACCAGTAGCCATGCCACTGCTTCAACATTAGATGGCCTTGAAATTTCTTCCACAAGATTAGTCTGCCACCTCTCATTTCAGTCTCAGGCAAAGTCTCTATACATGAACAAAATACAAACAAATTTTCTGCCGAAGCATAACACACATCATTTAGAGTCCAATAGCCAATACAGTTCTTGTTCCTAACTGAAACCACTTGAGCCTGGTTTTTACTGGCTGTATTTCTACCACCATTCTGGTCCTTTGAGGTTGGACCAGAATCTCCCATCATGTACAGTTCAAAGCATTCCATGGCTGTCTCTTCAGCCGGCATTTCCAAACCTTTCCTAGCTCTTCCCGTAAATCTGTTCCAAAGGATCGTGAACCACAAGGTCCAGTACAGTCACACCAATGACCCTACCTCTCTGGTACCAAAATCTGTCTTTCCTATGTTGGAAGTGTTTAACTTTCATTTCATTTGTACAAAGGCTCACAGCTAAGAGTCTGCCTTGAATCTCAAAAGAGATTCAGACTTGGACTTTGCACCAGTGCTGAAATTGTTCAGACTTTGGCAACCCTTAGAGATGGACTAAATGCCTTTTGCATAAAGGGATATGCATGAGTCTTTGGGGGGCCAGGATTGGAATGTTATGGCTTGTATCCAGATGTCCCCCTGAAGCTTCATGTGGTTATAGGTAGGTTTTTTGGAGATGGGTGGATCTAGGGTGTGTAGTACTGAGGTTAAATGTGTGATGCTGGGATTACAGTATGAGTGTCTTACGCTGGATGTGAGTGCTACCCAGCCTAAAGGCAGGTAGCCTGGATGGAATATAAGAGACATATAGAAGGCTGCTGATGTTGCTTGTAGCTCCTGTTTCTGTTGCTGCTAGTTGCTTCTGCTGCCTCCTGCCTGCTCTGCGATGCCCCTCTGCCATACCAGCCTGCCTTGAAGCTAGCTAATCATGGACTGAAACCTCTGCAGACTGTAAGACAAAATAAACCTTTTCTCTTTAATTTTAGGTGTTGGGTATTTTGTCTCAGCAATGAGGAAAGTAACTAAAACAATGGGATAACTCTGTAGGAAATTGAAAAGTTACAATGAAGAAAATTCTTTGAAATAGATCGTTTTCATCAGGTTGACTCCACCCTTTAGTTGTTTTTCAAGTAGGCTACTAAGATCTCTTTCAAATATAGATATTAAAAAATGGCTTCTCTGTCTATGCACAAAAAAGTGAAATAACCCCCAAGTTCTGTGGATTTCTTAAATATGTTTGTCCACTCCAGAGGCTACTTTTATTTGATTCAAGCCATGTTCTATGAATGGAAAATGTTTTTGACTCACAAGGTATTATTTGACCACCAGAATTTTTATTTTGACACCCAATATTTACTGCAGAATGACTCTAAAAGTTTGGCAAATTCTTTGAGTTAATTAAAATAAGGGGCATTATTTTGGAGGTATCCTTAGCTGAAAAACTTTCTCATTACTCAGACATTTTTTGTTTTTTTTTTTTCCAGTACTGGGAATCGAACTCACGACCTTGCACTTGCCAGGCAGGTGTTGTGCCGCTGAGCTAAATCCTCAGCCCCATTCAGACTTTTTAGTCATTAAAAATTCCGTCTGAAGATTCTCTTTTCCTCTACAGGCAGTCTCATCATTAGATACACTATTTAAATTTATTTTTTTGCCCTGGATTTTTTACTGTGTTAAGAACAGAACAAATCTATCTTTTAAACAAATTTTAAGTACACATTATGGTTGACTACAGCCAAAATCCTGTAGAGAAGTTCTCTAGGTTTATTCATTTTACTTTACTTGAAATTTATGCCTATTGATTACTAATATCCACTCTCTGAATATTAAGCTTTAGTTTTTTTTATTAGTGCATGTTAGTAATACAGAATAATGAGGTCCATTTTGAAAAGCTGCACATGCACATGACATATCTTAATGATTTTCCATCCCATTATCTCTCTCTCCCTTTCCCTATCCCTTTGATTTTATTCTCCATCTACAAAAGTCTACATTATTGTTTTCTGTCATCTCACATACATTTATTTATTTATTTGGTTTCCCATATAAGAGAAAATATGTGATATTTAACTTTCTGAATCAGGCTTATTTCACTTAACATCATGTTCTCCAGTTCAATCCATTTACCTGTAAATGACATAATTTCACTTTTTTTTATGGCTGCATAATACCTATTATGTGTATTCACCACATTTTCTTTATCCATTCATATGTTAATGGAGAGCTAGGTTAGTTTCATACCTTGGTCATTGTGAATTGTGCCACAATAAATAAGTACGTACAAGTATCTTCATATTGTACTGACTTTAATTCCTTTCTGTATATGCCATGGAGTAGTACAGCTGGATCATACAGTAGTTCTATTTTTAGTTTTTTTAGGAACCTCCATACCAATTTTTTTGGTGAGTATACTAATTTATATTACCACAGAGTGTAAAAGTGTTCCTTTCTCTCTGCATTCTCAACAGTATTTATTTTTTGTATCATTAATAATAGCTATTCTGGCTAGGGTGAGATGGAACCTTAATGTAGTTTTGATTTTTGCAATAGCTAAAGATGTTAAATCTCTTTTTATATTCTTATTATTTTTGTACTTGTCCTCTCAAGAAGTGTGTTTAATTCATTTGCCTATTTATTGATTGGGCTAATTGGATTTTTGGCACTAAATATTTTTAGTTTCTTTATATATTCTAGATATTAATCCTGTCAGAAAAGTAACTGGCAAAGACTTCTGTTCTGAAGGCACTATGTAGCTTCCTCTGCTTGATTAATTCCTTTGATGTGTAAAAACTTTTTGATTTGATGTAGTACCATTTGTTGATATTTTCTATTACTAACTGTACTACTGGAGTCCTATTCAGGAAACATTTGCCTGTGCACATGGTTTCAAGTGTTTCTCCTCTATTTTTTTTAATAGGGGAAAGTTTCAAAGTTTCAGATCTTATATCAAGGGGCTGGGGATTTAGCTCAGCGGCAAAGTGCCTGCCTGGCAAGCGCAAGGTCGTGAGTTCGGTTCCCGGTACCGGAGAAAAACAAAAACAAAAACAAAAACAAAAACAAAAAAGAACCAGATCTTATATCAAGGTCTTTGTTAGGCTTGTATCTAGATGTCCTCCCAAAATGTCATGCACTCATAGGTGGGGCTTTTCAGGGGAGGCTGGATTTTAGGTGTGTGAATATGGATTAAGAATGTGTGATAACTAAATTAGTCTGCTGATTGGTTTATCATAGTTCTGGGTGTGGGTAATGGGAAAGGCCATCCTGGGTATAACTGGCACCAACCAATAGTCTTGTAACCTGAATAGTATAAATGGGAAATGGAAGCTCACTGCTGCTGCCTTTTTGTCTGTCCTGCCATGCACTGTTTCTTGTTTGCCATGCCCCTCTGCTATGCTACACTCACTGCCTTGGAGCCAGCCAACTATTGACTGAAACCTCTACAAACTGTAAGCTAAAATAAACCTTTCCTCCTTTAACAGTGGGTGTTGGGTATTTTGTCTCAGCAGCAGGAAAAGTGACTGAGACAATCTTTGATCCATTTTAAATGGCTTTTATACAGGTTTTGAGATAAGGATCTAGTTTTAGTCTAGATATGGATATCTAATTTTCACAGTACCATTTGTTAAAGGGCTATCTTTTCTTTATATATATATATATATATATATATATTTTTTTTTTTTTTTTTGTGGGGGGAGTCTTTTTGAGACAGGGTCTCACTATGTAGTTCAGGCTGGACTTGAGCTCACTTTGTAGCCTAGGCTAGCCTCGAACTTGCAACGATACTCCTGCCTCAACCTCCCAAGTGCTGGGATTACAGGCCTGCGCCACCACGCCCAGCAGCTATCTTTTTTTAAATTTATTTTGGGGTCCTTTGTCAAGAATCATACGGCTGCTGTTGTGTGGGTTTGTTTCTGTGTACTTCTTTATTTCGTTGGTTTGTGTGTCTATTTTTGTGATGATATCACACTGTTTTTGTTCATATTACCTGTACTATACAATGAAATCAGGTATTATTACAGCTACAACACTGCCTGCCTTGCTCAGGATTATTTTCTAAACAAAAGTAAACCTTGAGTGAATTAGTACATTTATCCATTCAAAAAGGAGGCTATTTTCTCATTTTCTAAAAATAAAATTTTAAGGTAGGGTCTAAGTTTTCTGGCTGGTTTTGAATCTGTACTTCTGCCTTAGCCTCCCAGGTAAGATTACAGACAGATGTCACTGTGCCTGGCCTACTTTCCAATTTTTAAAGGAAAAAATGATGACCTCAGATATTTTCAACTACTTGGTAATCCAACAGTATATTGTTGGGTTCAACCTAAAAGCTATGAATTTTACAGAACATTGGTTGCACTTAGGAGAAACTGCTTTATCAGAAATAGATTTATTGCCTCTCTCACCATTTAAACTGTTGAATTTTCAATGAAAAATGAGTCAGAATAACAGTAACGAAATTAAAAATAAGCTAATACTCAAGATATCTATGGGAATAGGCAAAAATAAGAAAAACAAATGAAAATGGAAAAGTACAAATCAGAAACAGATTATTGTAGTTAGTCTATGGTGATGACACTTAGTTATCATTAGTTACTTCATTGTCTTTTGAATTGTTTTCCATAGATAATGGATAGGCAACTCTTACACTGTTCTTATACTTTCTCCTCCTTGGATGTTCTACAACCCAAATAAACTTAAGCATACATACATAAACAAGGAGGGGTTTCTTTTTATGCTGCCAATAATGACCGTCACATTATCATCGCTATCGCTGTCACTGTAGTTGATTTCGTCTTCTTCCTGTATGCGTACCTATGGCATAATCAAGACACAAGTGTAAGAGTCAAGATAGAAAAAGGATGCTAGTTGAAACTGGCAAAGAGAGGGATTTATATCTTAATGTTAACATTAACGGTGATAATTTTAAAGAGGAAAATAAGGTTGAGACAGAGCTTAGCAACCAGCTCTATATCGTAACCTGACCATTGTCCCTTGCTTGTGTCACGATCATTAGGTAAGTATCTTGGTAAGCTTTGATACAGTGTTCTTGTGATGGTAGATTACAATTTAATAATAGTACCACATAACCTGAGGGGATGGAAGAATTGGTTCTAGAATATTTCAATGGCCTCAGTTATTGTTTATAATTCTTAATTTGCCTCTATTATTGCTATTTATTTTCCTTTTTTTTCCAAATCTCAAAAAGAGATTATATCCATCAAAGTCTAATCCATGTTTACCTCCCTAGTGCAATCACTCTGGCTTCATCACAGGCATGCTGAAGCTATTTGAGAAGATTATTACTTACATAGTTGACTGTCAATAGTCATAAATTTTATACTTACAAATTCTACTTACTAAAGTATATTTGTCACCTCCAAATCAATACTTGCAGTGTATTTTCAGTCATTTGTAGACATGCTCAGAGTGGTGAAAACTTAAATGTGCACTTATAGTACAGATTTCCAACTGGAGTAGAAGAAGGTGATAACCTACCTTCATTTTTCAGATCTCATTCTGTAAACACGTATCTTGTGTATTGGCTATTTAATGTCACATTTTCACAATTTTATGCTTTTTGTTCATGATTGTGTTGCTAAAATGGTCCATAGACATACTGCTAAAGAACCATCTAGTGTGTCTTAGCAGAAGAAAGCTAGGATTGTCTTTATAAAGAAAACATATGCTAAATAAGCTTTGGTCAGGCATGAGTTATAGTGATTTTGGGCATGAGTTCAATGTTAGTGAATCAACAGTATGTTTCAGTAAGGTGGAAAGCATGGTGATCAGCAGGACTACCCTCTGTGGTCAGAAATGAGGTCCATCATGTGTGCTTCTCTGAGGGTTCTGGGTCTGAAAGTGCCAGGACTGAGCCCACCAGATTGCATGGCTCCCTTGTTGCCCACCTCCAACACAAAGCTCAACGTTCTGTTTGCTTTCCGCACTCTCTGATGTCTTTCGGGATATGTCTTTACTGAATGTTTGCCACTTTCTAAAGTGTACAGATGGTGGAGCGTCTGGGGCAACTTGTCACATAACCAGCCCATATACCACAAAGAGAGAAACAGCAGTGACTCAGGCTGCACAGAAAGAAAGAAGCAAACAAATGTGAGGCATGTCAGCATTCATAAACACTGAAAATTCAATGGGCCCCCGATGTGACTCACCATCCCTCATATCTGCTGTATTACAACATTATAGGTCCTGAAAAGACACTTTACCAACTCAAACACCTCCCTGTAGAAGTATATTTTGATTTGGTTTCTTTTTCATTTCATTTCATTCTTTTTAAATTTCTTTGTTAGTTGTGTTTATTACTTGTACTAATTTTATTTACTATTTTGTTTAATTGGAGTTTCATATCTCTTTTCTTCCTTTTTCTCATCTTATATTCACTTTTTAAAAATCCTGTTTCTTCTTCCATTTTTCATTTCCCTACACTTCCATATTTTATTATTATACTTGTATTATTAGCACTTTTAACCTTTATTGATGTTTAGCATTTTTTTTTTTTTTTTAGTACCAGGAATCAAATTCAGGACCTTCCGCTTGCTAGGCAGCCGCTTGTGCTGCTGAACTCTATCCCCGGCCCAATGTTTAGCCTTTTAATTTACTCTTTCTTTTCTCTTTTCTTCTTCTCCTTCTCCTTCTCCTTCTTCTTTCTTCTTCTTTCTTCTTCTTCTTTCTTCTTCTCCTTCCTTCTCCTTCCTTCTCCTTCCTTCTCCCTCCTTCTCCCTCCTTCTCCCTCCTTCTCCCTCCTTCTCCCTCCTCCTCCTTCTCCTTTCTTCTTTCTTCTTTCTTCTTTCCTTTCTTCTTTCTTCTTTCTTTCTTTCTTTCTTTCTTTCTTTCTTTCTTTCTTTCTTTCTTTCTTTTCTTCTTCTTCTTCTTCTTCTTCTTCTTCTTCT